AGAGGAGCCTACACTGAAGTGCATCTAACTTCTAAAATCATTTAACTCTGTCTCAACAGTATCGTTGTTTCAATCACACACTCAACTGACCATTATAGTAGAAGTGAACATGGTCAGGTAAAGGCTGGTACTCAGGGGGAAAGTAGGGCCCTTTGTGTTCCAAGAACTTCCATTTCACCCCATCTTCATACTTCTCTTCCTCCCACCTGACAAAAACCAAGATGATAAAAAAAAGTACAGATGCATCAGTGAAAGTTAAAATTGCACTTTGTGTTTATATGTGTGGGTGGGAAGAGTGTCCAGATGAAAAGAGCACTCCCCAACCATCTCCAGCGGTTCTGCTCCTCCTCCTCCTTCTTTTTGATCTTCAGCTGTCTTGCTTCTTCAATCTCCTCCTTTGTCTTCTTACTTTTTTTTGACACTGCCTGCTCTTCTTCCTCCTTCTTTACCGTCTGTGCAGAAGAGAGAAAAACACTCACCATGAACTGAAACATGTTTCTCGTGCTGAACTTGTAAGTGCAAGATTACCCCGATGGAGACAGAAGTTTACCTTTTGTGTTCTCTTCTTTGACGTCTTTGTCTGAGCCACTCCATCACCTTCTTCTTCGAGATGACGTTGCTTTTTCTTCTTCTTTAGGCTGCAGACAACATGGGAATGAAAGAAACTAATGGCTTACATACAAAACTAAGTGAATTACTCATGAAAGGTACATTTTTCTGCAGCAGTTTTCAGTAAAAGTGATCCTACATGAAGAAAAGCCGATGACAAGGATTTTTTCTGGACCTGGTCAGACTTACGTAGGTGAATTAGCAGAATCACTGGTGCCTTCTTCAGGGTCATCTTTAATTCTTTTCCTTTTCACTCCTTTCTTCTTTGCTGTAAAAGCATCATCCTCTGGTTCCTGTTTCACAGATTCACTGAACGACAAAAGGAACCGTTTTTAGCTACAAATGTATCCACTCTGTAGCATCAGAGTTACGCATTTCTGCTGACAAATTAGCACAATTATTAAAATACTCATTCCAAAGTGCAGCTCTAGTGTTGTGTAACTTAACAGCAAGCCTTCAAAATTATATTCACGATTTTTAATTTAAATTTTTTGGACCCAAGTCGGACCTTATTTTAGTTTTTTAAGACTTAGACTAACACATTTCTGAATTCTTATCAAGTGTTTTATATTTTATTCATTTTTAATCTCACTTGAGTAGATGGTTTTGTATCAACTTAATAAAGTTAATAACATGCAGAATAAAAGCTTGATGGCTTATTTTTCACTGCTTGCCTCCAGTTTGGCGTAGAAAGAAAATCTTTAAGCACACCGCGATGACTCACTGACCATAATAAAATCAAGCATAATTGTGGTAATTGAGTAAAATTAGCGACAGTAATGATAATGACATAATGACTGCGTTTAGAAATTTTAAAAAGGAGAGAAAAAAAAGGAGTAATTACACAAGTGCAAGCCTGGATTTCCCTGCAGAGTGAAGATTTGATGGGTAGAGAAATGGCCCAAATTAAGAAATCAACAAATTACAGTCACTGCTGCTAATAAAAATTAGTTTTCTCCTTTTCCTCCCACAACATTCTGGAAAAGAACAAAATGTGGAAAATGTAAAGCAGCGTAGCACATAATTGCCAAATTGGCTTACTGATCCAAATTACAAGGCACTATAGGAGCAACTATTCACTGTGCATTTATCAGGATAATCTTTCTGCTACAGCAGGACCCCGATGCTTTCAGATTGAAGGTAATGAACCTTTCCTGGGCTTCTCAGGTCTGTGACTCCATCCGGTCACTGCACCCAATACTGTATGAACTCAGGCAGAAAAACAAAGATATCTGTTTTACAATACAATTAGAAATAAGTACCAGAATACCCCACAGAATAAAACAAGTATAGAATCACCAATTAACCCGAGCTAACGTCTTTGGACTGTGGGAACGCCGAGTACTTGGAGAGACTCAACATGTGACAGAAAAGTGGACTCTGTGCCGGACAACCTATCACACTGTTGTGAGTTTCAGAAACACTCAAACAGAACACAACCAGTAATTATCATCATTAGTATTAGTGAGTCTATGATAAGTTGTGTTATTGTAGCTACTTTGACATAAATAGTCATACTTCTGACACTTCTACACTAACGACTGCACCTCCAAGAACTCTGCTGTTAAACTCCTAAAGTTTGCAGATGACACCACCGTCATTGGCCTCATTCAGGATGGTGATGAGTCTGCATACCGGCAGGAAGTTGAGCGGCTGGTACTCTGGTGCAGTCAGCACAATCTGGAGCTGAACACTCTTAAAACTGTAGAGATGACAGTGACATCCCTCAACTCTGCTCCCCCTCACCATATCAGACAGCCCTGTGTCGACTGTGAAGACCTTCAAGTTCCTGCGTACAACTATCTCCCAGGACCTGAAGTGGGAGACCAACATCAACTCCATCCTCACAAAGACCGAGCAGAGGATGTACTTCCTGAGACAACTTTGAAGTACAGTCTCCCACAGGAGCTGCTGATCCAGTTCTACACTGC